CTAATTTCAAATCTACTCATGGATTCGTCTTCAATGGATACTTAGATCTGAGCGTAATCGTCCTTCGTCTTCATCATTTCTGGTGGGAAATTTATCAACAGAGATTTCCGATTTGGAATCGAAGGAATCCATGGATGATTTCACAGGCCTCTTAGCGAGAGACTTCGGATTGAAGCCCCAAGGAAAATCTGCTCCGATGGCTCCTCAATCGAACTCATCTGCCGCTGATTTCAGCAGTTTCGCATCTTCCTACAGCTTCGCGAACCCATCATCGTCGCCGGGCAGGAAGAAGTCCGATTCGTCGCCTGTATTTGACGATCCTGGTCGCGATGGTGATGATCTCCTCTTCAACGATGTTTTTAGCGGACCACCCAAGTACGGATCCTCCGATTCTCGTTCTCAGCCGAAGCCCTCTGCTCCGATGGCCTTTGACTACGATGCTATGTTCAAGGAGCGGACAACACCCAAATCAGCCTCGTCCATGCCGGTTTATGACAAGCCCGTGTTCGACGAGGATGTGTATGAAGCTATTCCTGAGCTCAAAATCCCATCGACTTCTCAGTCAGCTAGATTTGATGACGTTTTCTCTTCGATCTCGTCGTCACCTTCAAAGCACAGGAAACAGAACAGTTCTCCCTTAGATGATCTGATGGGGAATTTGGGGAAACAAAACAAGACAGAGAGTGAACGAGAGGATAAGGGTAGCTCCGTTTTTGATGATTTGATTCCCGGGTTTGGTCGGAGTACTTCCCCTCCTACTAAAAGGTAATCTTTCAGCCTTCTACTTGATCTGTGTTTAGGGCTCACTGCTTGCGTGAAATGACTTAAAGCTTAGAGCTTAGAGCTAAATTTTGTTTCTCCTAGAGCTGACTTGAGAGCTTGCTTGCGTGAAATGACTCAATGAAATGTAGCATTAGCTTTATTGTGCTTATGGAGGGAGAGATGTTTGCAGGCATATAACGTTTCTCTTATGTATACTTTCTGGAACTTAAAGAATTCTTAGAAAGTCTCCAAAAGCTTCAACTTTCATTTTCGTTTTAGGTACATGCATAACGTCTTTATCAATTGAAAGATGCTGTACTCTTTTGCACAGGCCTACTTCAGAGATGAATGAATCTCAGAATCCTTCTTATCGCACTGCCAAAACATCTTCCAATCTTGTGGAAGACCCATTTGTCGTCTTGGAGGAGTCCGCATCAACCCCTAGAGAACCTTCGACAGGAGGGTTCACTGATCCATTGGAGGAAATTGGTAAATTCAGCAGCAGAAAAACTGATCATTCARCTGTCCGTGGAGGKGTYTTTGTTGATATTGACCCTCTCGATAGTCTTGGAAAATCAGGGCRAGATARGASTAATAGAGACAAAAGTCATTTAAGACCAGGAAGCACCAGTGGCTCTCAGTCACCAGTGGAAAGCTCTAGGAGTTACCATCCTAAGAAAGTTTCATTTGACGAAGTTTTGGAACCGCAGAATAATTCATCTGAAACCGCTTCTCCAGTGTATGAAAACCCTCCTCATATGTACAGGGAAAATTTGTCAGAGAATAAATCACACAATTTGGACGGAAGTTTTGAATCATCCGATGATGTGTGGCTTACAGTCTCTGAGATCCCCCTATTTACGCAACCTACGAGTGCTCCGCCACCTAGTAGACCTCCACCACCAAGACCCACACGTCCTATAAAAAAGAAGGTTAACGAGCCTTCTTTATCGAGTTCTACTAACCACTCGCATGCTCGTAGGTCAGCAGCTCGTGATTCTGTAAATAGCCCGACAGCATCTCAAATAGATGAACTCGATGATTTTTCTATGGGCAGAAATCAGACTGCTGCGAATGGATATCCTGAGCCTCCCTCTGGTGAAGATTCAGATGGTTTCTCTGCTGCTGCTGCCATGAAGGATGCCATGGATAAAGCAGAGTTGAAGTTTAGGCATGCTAAGGAAATGAGAGAGAAAGAAAATTTGAAGGCAAGCAGAAGTAAAGAAGGCGTTCATATGGAGAATTATGATTCTRGGGAAAGYGAGCTCAGAGAAAAGCAAGTGCGATTGGATCGT